GGGAAACAAAAAGATTTTGTCTTTTTTTAAACAGCCAACATTTAAATTTGCAGTCACAGGAAAAATTTTACAAATTAAAAAACATTTTTAGCCCCCCCCCCCCCCAAAAAAAAAAAAAAAAAAAAAGAAGAAGAAGAAGAAGAAGAAGAAGCTAAGAATAAGATTTAAACAGCATGCAACGTAAAGGTGTAGTCCCTCCACCCGACTATATGTAAAAACTGAAAACGCATGCATTATGTAAGACGCAACGGTCAGCCCGCCCCGACAGCATGTACATATGCGTTCGTCTAAATGGACGGTCTGTCTATCTGAAATGGATTCAGGAAGGATGATTTCCTTAATGTGATGAATTGATATCAGCTGTAATACCGGTATTAACGCCCGTGCGGGGAGTTGCCCTCTAACACTTTCCCAATCTTTAGTCAACCGCAAAGTTCAGGTATTTGTTTTTGGCTAACCTTGTAAGTAATCAATAAAATGTAAGTTGCTTCCTTTTTAGCCAATTTATAAACTTGGAATGTCATCCATTGATCCACGCTCGGACTCGGAACTGTGTTTTAAGTCCATGTTAAGATAAACCAGCGGTAATTCACTTACATCGAGTATATCGCACTTTTTTTTTCACAAAAGGTGAGGAATGACTTATGTTCTAAATCGACAGTGCTTTTATTCTTAAAACAGCCAGTGATTGATTGAGAATCAAATCACACTGCAGTGGTTGGTTTCAAAGTTAAGGCCAACAAAAGTCCGGCGTATTGACCTGTCGCCAGCTCAGCATGAGACCACGGCTTGAGACATTGTTTTTTTTCTAACCTCACGTTTTATGAGACGGAAGCTCAAAGGTAGAGGGGTGAAATTTGTTGTTTGCCAGGCCTTGCAAGGCGGTGGATCAATTTTTTCTTGACAGTGAGCATGTACTGAATTGTATCTTCCATTCCTTTTATTTATATTATAACATCTGCTCATGTTTTATTCTAATGTTCTGTGCACTTTTATTTAAATTGCTTTTACACATCGGTAATTCGATTAACAGTTTACACAACCTAATATTATGAGACGATCAATAATTCATGTCCGAATGTCGTCTTTATTACATAAAGTGAAATATTTATGCGTTATCTTTGTCATTTGAGTATCTTATCAAAAAGCATTTGGTTTATGTAACCAATCCTCTTGAGATTTTTAATCTACATAAAAAAGATTGGTTTTTATTTGAACAGAAAAAATGTGAAACTGGTGTTTATTTGAACATGCTCGAAATAAATATCTCGTATAACAATAATGCTAAACAACTGATTTTTCTAAACCCAATAATGGAATAGGCCTACCATAAAGCGTGAATGAAAGACTGAGTTCCCATCCCTAGATCGATCTACCAGGATCGGTTCATCGCCATGGGGTCCCTCGCTAAATTGCTTACAGCCTAAGCGGCTTAGACGTCTGGGACGCCCACTAAAGCCCTATCGGCCTCAGCAGGCATGACAGACAAACAGCAAGAATCTCCTCGTAGAAAGTTCGATCCAAAGTTAGTACGATAGGGTCTGGGAATGGTCTCAAAGAAGAAAGAGATAGAAGAAAGAGATCGCTATGCACCAGTTAAGTTTCCAAATGAATCGGTTCCGCCGAGTACGCTCGACCAGTTGGACTTTTATCGCGTTATTTTCATTAAAAGCGGAGGCGTTACGGTGCTTGACCACCTCAAAACAGCCACTGTTATTCACGGTATGTAGCAGCTTTGTGGAAAGTAACAATTGTACCCCCGATTGTCACGGCCAGCGAACTATTAATAAAGGATGGAAGGGAATAATGACGTGCACTTTAAAGTCCTCAGCAGGAAAACTCTGTTCAGTGAATACTTAGAAAACCAGCCAGCATGGATGATGCTGATATTATAAAGTTTCATGCTAAGGATAATCTTTTCTTTTTAATTAAGTCACCATGAGTAGGACTAAAATGTGTGTGTGTGTTGCAAAGAGGCAATAGCTAAAGAAAAAAAACGTTTTTTCTCACTGGTGTGTCGGTGCGGTACAACGTCAGACTAATAGACAGTCCAAAACGTGATCTTTCCACACCTGTTCATTTGATTTTGTTGTGAAATCACGAGTTTCAATTTGTACCCCCTACCAGGATGGCAAATATTATAGGCAAAATTTCAAAAAAAGCCATGGCAGAGAATCAAATAGCTGTCTATATATCTAAAGACATAGCTGTGAATATCTTGTAAAAATCAATCTGTCGCCCAGGTAGAGGGTAAAGTACTTGCCTTTCTTGGTTACATGCTGCTTTGTGCTCATTTATACCACCGTGACTCAAGATTATTTAAATATAATTAAGGGTTCTTTTTCCTTAAAATACTTTGAAAAGAAATGGGAAAGAATCTGTGGCCACCTTATGAAGGCTAACAAACGTGAAATTTTCGGATCCCTCCTCCATAACTTTTGGTTGTAGTCAGATATAAGCTCGTGATCAATACGTAGTTTCTCTTATTTTGATATTATGATGATTATATGATGGTCCTGGTGATCTTTATTTGCTCTACCTTTTGGCCTCTGCCTAATAAACAAACAATTTTGAACTCAAACAAAGCAGAGATGAGCTATAAGCCCTTGCCGTTCTTGTAGCAGTAAAAGGGTCGAAAGGACTTGCACCGCCACGCGAGTCGTTTAATAAAGCTTTGAAAGCACATACACACACAGCAACAACAACAAAAATGTGTCACAGTTATCATGGTGTTTGATTTTTTTATTAAGATGACTTTCTTGTCGTTAAGGTGATTTTTTTACGCTCTACCAGGGCCACAGATTGATTTTTCACTAGATATTTACATATATGTCTTAAGATATATAGACGGTCATAATTTTCTCTGCGAAGAATTAAACTATATACACTGTAATTCCTTGACTAGAATCAGCCCTTCATCGTGCTCGTTAACCCCTACACGATGATTATCAGAACTTCTGGTATTACGCATTCGGACGGACATTAACTGAGCCGCTGCAGGAAGCTTGGTTAAGGAAGAACAATAATCCAAACAAATAGCGTATTATATGTTTCTGTATTTGTAGGGCGCAATGGGATAATTCACGTCAACATATTTGGATTGAATTATTCATTACATTGTGTAATGTAATCTTCTTTAAATGACTAATTAGCCATTCGGAACGATTACACAACGAAATAGAATCTCTCTCTTAAATGGCAACATTCATATAAAATTCAAGAAAACGAACAATAACGGTTTATCATGAATAACTTAACTTACGCTTAATGAAATATTTGTTGCAGTTCATTTCAACTGTGCATTGTAAAATTGGGTAATACATGTATACAGTTACATGTTTCGTTTCTTGAGGGGCTTTGCACTCGAATCAAGAGAGTAGCTGGAGAAGGAGTCAGGATTTTAGAGCCCGTTCCCATA